TCCTCTTGGGACGATCCCCGACTCTCACCACACACTCCTCACTCGGTGTACAAGTGTATTACAAAGTGAATCTCACAATAAGGCTCAAAATAACAAATGATTGTTCTCTCTAATAAGGTGAGAACTCAATTAGGCTCAACTCAATATCACACAATCCCACAACCCAATTATATAATGTATGCAATCACAATAAGCTCAAGTGGGTGTGTGTAACAATGAGATAATATAATCAAATCTAAACTCAATATAAAAAACTAGCTTTAAAGAATGATAATCAAATAACTAAGCAAATGTAAAGCTAGATAGAGTTTAGAAAACTTCTCCAATAGATGACAAGATGGAGAGATGGAGATTGGAGCCCAAACAAGAAGATGATCTCCTCCACTTGTGAAAACTTCTTCATAAACCAAAACAAACACTAACACACTTAAACCCTTGTTTAAAACTCTTTAAACTTGTTTAAAACATTTCTTAAGTGCCCTTAGAAGTATGAGGGCATGGAGTATATATAGGCTCATGAAACAAGCCCAAAAACCCAAGAAAACCAAGCAAAAAGACAAAATAACGGATATATATAAATCTGGAAAAAATAGCCGTTAGCTATAGTAACCAACCTCCATAGACATTTCCGGTCGACCGGAGTACTGTAGCAGTGCGCAGCTGTTTTGTAAAATCAATTTAAAATAGTAAATTAACTCCAAAAATTATGAAATTTTGTGGGAAAGTTCTAGACATGTAGTATGACATGTTAGAGAAAGAATTTCGTAAAAAATATTTTCCAATTGAGAGAAATAAATGTTTGAACACAGATTTACAGTTTCAATCAATTAGGCACAGTAAATCAACTCCAAAAATAGTAAAATTTTGAGGGAAGTTTCTAAACATGTAGAGAAACATGTCAAAGAAAGATTTTTTTGAATATCACTTTCCATTTATGAAAACTCATCTGTTTTGTAAAACATGCACGAACATGCACGAACGAAAAACATGATTTTGTAAATTCCATTAAACATAACAAATCAATTCCAAACTTGATGAAACTTTGCGAAATGTTTATAAACATGAAAACAAACATGTTAGAAAAAGAATTTCTCAAATTGAATTTCCATTTGTGAAAACTCATGTATTTTGCAAGTATGTCCAAAACATGAAAACCCAAAACCATGCATGTATATATATAACTATATATATACATAGAAACCAAATACGTGTGTGTATATGATATTGAGCTTAAGGTACTTAACACACATAATATAAAACCTAAACTAGATTACCCAAGCCGATCTTGATCTTCAATAAGCTTGACTTGGTAAACTTTGCGGAAGAAGCTTGTAATTGGATCTTTAACTTGAATTGACGTTGCTTCACTCCACAATTCCTCCAACCTCCATTTGATATGATCGTTAAGGCTCGATTCCATCCATCCTCCAACAACGTTGTTTGTCTACAATACATAGGAATGCACAAACACTAGACAAACAATATTAGTAGTAAATTGTTTGTTAAACATCATCAAAACAAGAAGGCCAACACATATACAATAACAATATAGTACAGTAATGATTCATTAATCCCTATGAGTTCAGTAATCTCCACTGTCGACTGGTGGCACTCTACCGGCCAACTGGAACTGTTCACCAACTCTGTTCACAGAACATAAAACCTGAAAATCTGATTTTCTAAATTCATTTTAAAATAGTAAAACAATTCCAAAAATTATAAAATTTAGAGAAGTGTTTGTTCTATATCCAAAAGTATTGCTCCAATCTTTATGCTGTAACTCATGAAGGTACTACTATTTCACATTTTACACATAGTCCATTTTATACATACTTGATTTGGACATGCCTACAATCGAAAATACAGCTCAGAGTTCCTATTCACATACAACAATATATGTACATATTACTTACCACTACTTACTATCAACACAAGTCAACAATGAAGGCTTTTATCCGATTATGTTGACTAGCAAAATTTCTGCTTCCAAAAGCTTGACCTTTAGACGTGTGTAGTCTACTCTCGTCTTTCTTCTGAAATAGGGTAATAACGAATGGGATGAGTACGATGACTTAGTAAGTAACCCACTCACTTCTTAAATTCTAAATTTACACCAAATCGCATCATAGATATTAGTAACATATAAACGCCTATCGTAGGATAATCCCACAGGAAAACATGGCTTAAGAAATCAAAATGAAACCTTTAGAGCAACAACAGACACCATTTGGCATGATATGTCACTTAGAGATGTACATTCGACAATTAACTGGTCCAGTTCAGAGAGCGTATTAGATTTACAGTGATTCATGTAGGGTGATATCTTTTCGAGTGAACACTTTTTCATTGTTATTCTTATGTTCTACCATCTAACCAAGGGTTCAGTAATTCTTGATGGTATTACCCAACATATACAATAACAATATAGTACAGTAATGATTCATTAATCCCTATGAGCTGACAGCGTAGGAAATTTCCTTTGCTGTCGCCATACGTCAGGTTCTTATTTGCTAGACACAAGTAACAGATTTTCGAACGGTTAAATTTATAAAGATAAAAGACCTAGAAGATGTAAAAATCACAAATCTCCCTTGATTAATATCTGCCTTTCCTAATTATTCTACAAAATTCCGTTGCCCTCCTTCCCTAAGCTGTCGTCCTTCATCTTCGTATCCCAAAAGCACTGCTGATCTCCGTCGATCTCTTTGCTGTCCCAGACCTCACCACGGATATCTTCGCCGTCCCAATCCCAAAGTATCAGCGCCCTCGTCATCCCCAAAATCCCACACTTCTGCCCTCGTCATCCCCCTCCTTCCTCAAGTTCTGCTGCTTTCAAGTGCTTCCTTCCCCAAGCACTGCTGCAAAATCATACGATTCCTTCCCCAAGCGCCGCTGTTTTCAAGCCAAGGACGGACTCCAATTCCCAAGCGAATATTTTCGATCCAACACAATCATCGAATAATTCTAGACACATCACCTTCGCCGATCTTCAGGAAACCCAATTTTCAATCCTCATTGTAGAAGGAGGATCTCTCGGCATCCTCAGGTACTTTATCTTTTTTAATGAAAGTTTAATGAAAGTTTTTTTTATTTTTATTTTTTTAAGGGAATCAACTTAATTTTTATTTGCTAAAAGTTTGATATAGTTTGGAATTATTAGAATTATTAAAATTTGTTCTTTTAAAGGAATCAACTTTAATTTTGAATGATTGTTCTCCTTTGTTCAGTCTCAGGCAACCCCCGACAGTCAAATTATATAATAGGAAGCACCCCGATAGTCAAATTATGAAAATTGTGGGTAACTTTCAATGAATTTGTGAATGAACAGATTTTTCATACAGCCATTGTAATACCTGGTTACATATTTAAAATGTCGACAAATATGACACATAGCCCAAAGAACTTGGTGCATGCTTGATGATTTGTGGGACATGAAGAGTGAACATGATATAATGTAGTGACACCAAGGTGCAGGCACGCATGATGCCGTGTAGGGCATTCTGTCTTACCTCATTGTTATCTTCCAAAATTTCTAGCTCAAAGGGACTAAGGATAGTTGACCGCCATCTTTTGCGTCTCCATTTTTTATTTCTAATATGCATGTGTATCTATTAAGGAAGTTGGCATATGCAACATTGATATACTAATGCTAGACAAAACCTTAGCAAAAGGACATTTTATGTTTGTGCATGTGTATATGGTTGTGTATGTGTGTCATCTGCATTCATGTGCAGATGGAGGTGAAGAAGTGACATCAACTGCTCGTAATTAATTTAGCAGCACATCTCTATGAAGTTCTTGTATAATGTATAACACTTTGTTGGAGGTCTGGTGTCCGATTGTACTGTGCAGACTAACTCTGAAAATTTATATGTAATGTAGAAGGGTAAATTTTGCAAATGTAGCATATACTAGGCCATTCAGTTTCTTATGATGGAATATCGTTATGATAGCATGTATCTAGTCTTCTAGATGTTTGTTTAAGAAACCTTGTTAATTCATGTTTTTCAGTATACATTTCTCATTTTTCTGTTCTTTCTTTCGACAAATTTTGCATGATCCTTCTACTTTTATCTTGTTGAGAGGTAGCTTTTACCTTTATATTTGCCCATTGCAATTTACAGGACGAGTTCTTTTGTCTCAGCTAAAATTATTCTCCTGAGTATATGACTATCCTATCGGAATTTGCATGAGTTATTATAGGTACACTAGTGCATGATGCAATGTTCGAAAGCAAGTGGAACGAGCTTCAACAGACCCCAAAGAAGTTATAACAACATACGCAGGAAAGCATAACCATGAAATTCCAGCAGCTAGAAACAGCAGCCATAACACTGCAAACTCCACCGCCGCTGCTGATATTTTGTAGCTAAAAGTTCATAACTCCATACCCAGTCATCAATCCTTCTTCGAGAGGGGTGATTTAAGAAACAATGTTTCATTGGCCAGTTGCAGTTCTCTAGCTGATAGAACACGGCATGCCTTAAGTTAACCTTGTTCTACAACGCAAGTTCACTGTGTATTTTGTTGTAACTTAGTTTTTGTACCCTTTTGGAGTTTTTTTTATCCTGTTGGCATCTCTTTTGCCATTTATATGTTATAGCTTGTGGATTACACAACTGTAATACAGTTAGTACTTGTTAGATGTACACCTTGTATATGGCTTTCTTTTCTCCTAAAATTGAAATTGGATGCATGAAATAGGACTTGCTTTGAACTCTGTAAATTCTCGAGTTTGCAATTCGCAATTCTCATTGTTCTGTAATTTATCTCGATCTCTGTGGGTGTAATGGTAAACATGATTCTGAATCAAACTACAATGACAAGAAGGCAGAACTCAATTATCTGAAACATAATCCCCAAAGCTCCAAAAGGAATACTTCAAGTGTTAAAAACAAGGAGAGACTTCCCCGTGTGTTAAATAAACTCCGACACAAAATCGCCTAAAAAGTTCATTCATTATCTAACCTCGAGAAGAACAAGGAAGTCGTAGACATTGCTTATGAAAGGGAATCCCAACATTATGATTTGAAAGTTTATTCATAAGCGTCCAAAGCAACAATTGACTAAAATATATCCATTAATCAGCCAACATAAAAAAGAAATAGAAAACAAGAAACGGTAAAGGGAGTCATTTGGAGTTAGGTCACAACTAGTGTAGACTGGTGTGTAGAACCAATCAGCCTTTTCATGGTTGAGGGTCTGTATAGGACTCGATAATAAGAAACAGTGCATGAAAATCTCAGCAACAAACATATGGTTGAGGCATCTTTGATCCTTCTAAATAATCTTCTTGTTGTATTTGCTAGGCAGCTCATAAACGATTACTTTCAACCTTCCAACTGGATCATCTTCAAGAACATCTCCAGCACTCCCTATGATTTTGAAGATTCTGACAGTTATGACCATAAGTACATTTAACATGTGAAGTTAAAAGTGCAAATAAAAAACAAATGAAATTGACGGGAAAGTGTAGGTGATGGAAAAATCAAGAAAAAATTTATAATAATAATTAATGAGATGTATAAACATTAATAAATGGAACTAGCTGTAAACAAGATGTATCAATCAACTAATGTAAGTATCTTTGTGAACAATTAAACATTAAAATACCTAGTTATTTGACAGGTTACCAACAAGAGAAATAGTGCAACTACTTTTATAATGTCCCTTTTGACCACATCTGCCGCATGTCCTCTTTTTTTATCTCCTTTTTTTCCTGTGCTTGTTCAAGTCCCGATTTCAATCTGCTAATTTTCCTCGGTCGTCCCTTATGTTTTGTAGACTCGAGAGGGTCACGAACAATGATTTGAGGGAGTTTCTCAATAGTATGGAAAGGAGGAGTACTAGATTCAACCCGACTTGTAGCTTCAGTCCCCTTTATTTGCTTAGCACTAATATCTTTTTCATGTTTTTCCATCAAGTTTGAAAAAAGGTATCTATTTCATCAAAGACCATAGGTGATTCAGGTGCCCATGCCATCACGTTATTAAATTTTGCTCTCAAAGCCCAAGATCGCAAAGTACTCCATTGATCTCTATTACTATTAATTTTTTTTTCCAGCAACACATTAGAGACTCCAATATTACGGTGCCTTGCATTCATTGTCCATCTATGCATAATGCATTCTTCAGGAATTCTTACCAACTGATTTGATGTCATAATATGAATGGCATGCCTACATAATATTCCATCAGTCTCAAACATAGCACATGTACACGTTATTTTCTGTTTATTTTGATTATAAACTACATGCTCTCATACACTTCTTTCAGTAGAGAGCGGGCCGACTATGTATTTAGAAATTAATTCTTCTTTTCCCATCTCGTCATGAAACAAAGATACAGAAGCTTTAAGCTCATCTTGAAACCACTCAAATAAAGCTTGTATACGACTCTCCAGCTTGAATCTCAATCGGATGGTTTAGATGCATCACAGGCTTTGTATTCAAAGTAGCAAAATGACTCTCCAGCTTGAATCTCAATCGGATGGTTTAGATGCATCACAGGCTTTGTATTCAAAGTAGCAAAATCTTCACTTAATTCTTGTCTCAATCGGATGGTTTAGATGCATCACAGGCTTTGTATTCAAAGTAGCAAAATCTTCACTTAATTCTTGAGAACGACACGACAATATTGCTTTATCATATTGCTCAACAAAATCGGGCAACAATGTTTGTGAGTTGACGTATGTGTCAAAGAAGGCATTTATACTTTCACCATGTTGGCTTGACGTCATTCCTGCAAAGAAAGTATCTTTGAGATAGCATGGAACCCAATATGTTCTATTTTTGTACATGGTTTGTAACCAACATTCCTCATTTTCTTCTATATTAAGCTTTTCTTTTAACTCATCCCATTCCTGAATACATGTTTCAATTTTCTTGTTATGCCACCATCTATTAAAGTAGTTTGCAAACTCTTCTCCATACAACTTTTGTAGAGATCAGATAATAAATGATCAACCATGTGCTTGCCAAGATGCCATTTGCAATAGCGATATCGAGTATTTGGAAACACTCTTTGAATGACATTGCATATAGCTTTGTCCTGGTCTGTAATAATAGCACGCGGAACCACTCCATTCATACATTTAACCCACTTAGTAAACAACCAGACAAATGTGTCTTCTTCCTCATCTGCAAGTAGTGCACAGCCAAACAAAGTTGACTGCCTATGATGGTTAACACCAGTAAATGGAGCAAAAGGCAGTGCCAACTTGTTAGTTCTATATGTAACATCAAAAACAACAACGCCGTGAAACTTTAAGAATGATGCCCTTGCCCATCCATCTGCCCAAAATACACTCCTCATAGTTCCTATAGTATCTAATTCAATAGCAAAATAAAAATCTAGATCAAATGTCCTTTTATCTATGAATTTTTGAATGACTAATATGCATTCGTTATCCATGTTATTCTTTCTCTATTTTCTGATATGATCACTACATTGTTGCGGTGTGATATTTCCACCTAATTCCCACTACCAACATTTATTACTCGTGAAATTGTTGTTGGCGGAAGCCCTTCTTCATGCAAACTATCAATCAAACTTCGACAATCTTTTGTTCGATGTAACTTTCGATGTGAATAATGATTCTTAACCTTATCTGGACTAGTCAACTCATGATTTGTATGCTCATTAACAAATTTTCTCACTATCCATGTACCTTTATCAGTACGATTGACCCGCAACATCGCCTTGCAACCTACTCTAGTATCTCTTTGACGCTTAACTATTTTTCCGTACTCTCTCTTATCGTTTGTTGATTTTAGACCCTCCTTATTACAGACAAATTTCTTTGGTATGAGTTCTTTTCCTTCTTTCCTAGAGTAATTGCCTGAGCTTATGCAGACACTGAATCCTTTTATTTTTGCATAATCATTGTAATAATCATACGCAGCAGTATATGTGGGAAATTTCATTCCAATCCATGGTTCCACAGTATTGGACTTGCCATTATCAATAGAATTAACATGATTAATTTCCTCTTTCTCCAGCTCATGCTCTGTATTACTACAATTAACAAATCCACTTCCTTCCGTATTATCAGTCATCAAATTGTCTACATGAACAAATCCACTTCCGTATTATCAGCTCATGCTCTGTATTACTACAATTAACAAATCCACTTCCTAAACAATATTAATCAATTTCCATTAGTATAGTTATATGATCCAAAGATTGAAAATACATCAAACACTTAAATTAAGGAGAAAAACTCACTAAAATAAAACAAAAAAAATCTTATAAGTAATTTCAATTATACAAAGAAAAGAAAGAGCACATAAATTCTAAGAATTTTAATAAATTTTTTTAGAAAATTAAGAGATAAAATCATAGTAATTTCATTAACTATATGCATGTGAATTAAGGAGAACAATCACTCAAAGTTAAAGATGATTCCTTTAAAAAAATAAATTTTAATAATTCTAAACTATATCAAACTTTTACCAAATAAAATTACGTTGATTCCTTTAAAAAAATAAAAATAAAAAACTTTTCAGAATTTTGCAACAATGCTCGGAACTGGACTGAAGATTTTTCCAAGACGGCACCTGTTGGGCTGAAGGTATGCTCTTTTATTCATTACTTTGCTCCCGAGAGAATTTTTTTGATTAAAATGAGGCCTATATTAGGGGAAGAAATTGTATAATTCTTCACTACATCGTGGATTCTTTCTCTACTCATTGAAACAGTAAGAAGGCTTTTACAACAGCTTCTTGTTGATATTTTTGGACAAGTAACACATCTAGAACTGATCTATGGAAGGTCAATATTTTGTTGATAAGTTTTTGTTGATAAGATTTACAGTCCATATAACACAACAAAAGAAAGCATATGAAAAACAGATTTGAGTTTTAGAATCCGATCATTTTCTACTAATTGTATTCTAATGCAGTTCCATGTTCTTGGATTCTTGGTTTACTATTGATAAAAGTATGACAATATTGTCCATGATTTGTTATTTGTATTATTATTACTAGTATTTGGCATATGGCTAACGTATAAGTAATTTCAATTATACAAAGAAAATGCAAGAGCACATAAATTCTAAGAATTTTGATAATTTTTTAGAAAATTAAGAGATAAAATCATAGCAATTTCATTAACTATATGCATGTGAATTAAGGAGAACAATCACTCAAAGTTAAAGATGATTCCTTAAAAAAAATTTAATAATTCTAATAATTCTAAACTATATCAAACTTCTAACAAATAAAAATAATTTTTTTTTTTGTTCTTCGATTGATAAAGTACCTGAAGTTCGCTTGAGAATTGGGTTCGCTTGAGATTGTCGTTGACAGCACGTCCGAGAAAAATGGACCAGGGGAGATCAGGGGATGAAAATCAGAGAAAAATAAAGAATTGGATTCGCTTGAGATCGTCGCCGACAATGGGGAAGGAAGCCGGCGAATTTTGATGTTTGGGACGGTGAAGAGATCGGCGCTTGGGGGAGGAAGCGTGGGATTTTTCTGGAAGGAAGCCGGTGAATTTTTCAATATTCAAGTGGAAGAATATCTCAAGCAAAATCTAAAAGTAACAGATTGTTTGGAATAATTTAGGGCTTGTTTGGATTGAGGGGAACGAGAGTGAAGGGAAGTTAGGGGAACTATTCACCTCCATTCATCTTGTTTGGGAATACTTAGGAGGTGAAGTTAATTCACCCTAGTTCTTCTTGGTTCACCCCCTAATAGTATAAAATTTGTTACCCCTCAAATTGGGATGTAACCACGGGGAAGGAAACTCCCTTCACTTCCCTTCCTTTCCCTTCTCTCAGTTTCCCTTAACTTCCCTTCACCCCCTACAAATCCAAACAGGACCTTAGGAAAGGCAGCGGAGGTGAGGGGAGGAATGGTGCTCTTTTTACATATAGGTCCTTCACTTTCTTATTAATTTAACCAAATGAGATTCGCTTGAGATATGCTCTCTCATAAAATTGAATGATTCCTAGCGAATAAGGTAGTGACACGTGGCGACAGCATAGGAAATTTCCTACGCTGTCAGCTCACCTCCCGTTCTCTCTCTCTCTCTCTATATATATATATATATATATATATATATATATATAAGAAGTGTTCCTAAGGTACGCTTAGATAATCATCTAAGAGACGCGGTCTAAAATGCACATGATGTGAGCTAACATTTGGATAATGCCACTCCGTTGAACTTGATCTACATATTCTAAAACCCCAACACATCAAGTTGGGGTGAACACCATCGTCGTTTTGACCCTCCGTCGAGCCATGTGAAAGTTCTATTCATTAGAAAGCCGTAAAATTGATACGAGTGGAATGAAAGGTCAAACGACAGAGCGGGTATCAACCAAACTTGATGTTGGGGTTTTAGAATATGTAGAATCAAGTCCAAGATTCAACAGAACGGATTTATTCCACAATGTATCTCAATCATGTGATTTTATGGTGCGCGTTCTTAGACATGATTATCTAAGACGCAGTCTTACGGACACTTCTCCATAGTATATAATATATATATATTATATATATATATATATATAATATATATTATAACCGATTTGTGGTTGTTTTTTTATATAAAGTGATTGACATTAGACCTTGACATTGAATGTTGTCCAGTTTTTTTTTTTTTTTTTTGGGGGGGAGCGTGGGTGGGGGTTAATATGTTCTATTTAAATAGCCAATTCTAGTAAATTAACCTCTGTATCCTTCTAATTGACATGCCGAAAGCGCTAGGTGCTGACAAAGCAGGTGAGCGTTAACGACGCTCTATAGATATAGACGAGGACAGCTTTTCTTCTTCTTCTTGTTTTCTTTCTTTTTGTCCGGATTACAATTTTTTGCCAATCGAGATCAAACTCGAAATATTAAGCTTTGAACATGAACCATGCAGATTTTAAAAAAATTCCTAACCAACCCCATGCTCCAAAGTCTATGTATAGTAGGCTACAATATGGGCTAGCGTTCGGATCCAAACAGGCTAAGAATTTTAGCCCAACCTAACCCAACAAAGACCCAAAGAAACAGATCTCAAAAATAGCTCTACAGGTGAAAAATCGTGATTCTAGGAATCCGCAACACTGGCCACCCGACACGACCCGCTCAGTGCTTAAAATCACCTGAAAAAACCAATCTCTCAAATTTCCTTCACTTGGATCTTTAGGGGGTGTTTGTTTTGCTTTTTTTTTGGGATATGATAGTTTTGGGATGTAAAAAGTGCTTTTTTGTGGTTTTAAAAATCCATAACTTTGTTTGTTTCACTTTTTTTTTGGGATATTGAATCCCTAAATTATAAAACAATAATATTTTATTAGGATTTGTGAAATCCTCTCTCTTGTTTCCATCTTTTTTTTGGGATATAAGGTTTTAGAAATCGATAACTTTGTTTGTTTCAAAACCAATTTTGGGATATCAAATCCCAAAATATTAAAAACTATTATATTTAGGCATTTGTGAAATTCTACACTTGAGAGAGGATGTGGGTTGGATATTGATGTATTAATGCTTATAATATAAGATTAATATAAGATTAATATATTATATATAATATTATAATAATATAATATTTAATATAATACATCTATATATATATATAATTTAATATATATATATATAATATAATATATATATATATATATATATATTGTATTATATATATATATATATATAATATAATATATATAATATATAATATTATATATATAGATATATATTATAATTATTTATATATAATATATTATAATATTATCATAATATATATATTAATATATACAATAATTATATATATAATATCACTGTTCATGCTGTAGTAAAGTTACTGTAGCATATATTATATATTATTATATTAATTATATATATATAATATGTATAGTATAATATTATTTATGTATATATATATAATGATAAATATATATCTATATAATATATATATACATAATAATATATATATCATTATATACTAATAGTATATTTTATATATATATTAATATAATATATATATATATATTTATTATATATATAAATTATTATATATAATATTATAATTTTTTATAGTATAATTATACTATTTATATATATATATATAATGTATATATAATATTATTATTATATATATAATAAAATATATCATAATATAATATATATATATATAATATAAATATATATCATATATATAATATATAATTTTATATATAATTTAATATAAAATATATATATCATATATATATATTATAATAATATATATTATATTATAATATATTAATATATATAATATATAATATATATATATTTAAACATATATAATATATTATATTATATATATATATATATATATATATATATATATGAAGAGTATATTATATATATATATATATATATATATTATATATATTATATTATATATATTATATATATTTATAGCATTATATATTATATTATCAATGTGCATGCTGTAGTAAATGTTGTAGTAAATTACTGTAGCCATATATTATATATTATAATATTAGTATATATTAATATATAATGATTATTATTTATATTATATATATAAATAATATATAAATAATATAATATATATATATAATATAAATTATATAAATTATATAAAATAATATATAATTTATATATTACAATATATATTATATATTATATATAAAATATATAATATATCTATAATATTATATATATATATATTATATATTATATAATATATGTTATTAAAATTTTATATAATATTATAATATATAATTTATAGTATTCCAAATCCCAAAATATTGATGAAACAAACAAAATATTACAAGTTTTAGCATTCCAAATCCTAAAATATTGTTGAAGCAAACACAACCCCCTTTATGGATTTCAAATCCTAAAAGCCACATCATTTATGGATTTCAAATCCCATTTTGAAATCCCAAAAAAAAAATCAAAACAAACACCCCCTTATTTTATTATTGAACAACAGAATACACTTTCCCCATCATCATCATCATCTCCCTCCTCACTCCAGATCTAAGGACGTCGTCCGCAACCTCCTCGTCTTCGAGGTCGTCTCCTTCAGCTTCTTCCTCTTCTCAAGCTTAATCGCCCAGGGCCTCAAGCTGGCTATCAACCTCGACGCCGGCCCCGACGTCGTCCGCAACCTCCTCGTCTTCGAGGTCGTCTCCTTCAGCTTCTTCCTCTTCTCAAGCTTAATCGCCCAGGGCCTCAAGCTGGCTATCAACCTCATCAACAGCAAGGACGTCGACGATGCGTTCAGGGCCCACATAAACGCGACGGTGCTCAGGTTCGGGATGCTGGGGTCCGCGGTGGGGTCGGTGATGGGGTGCTTGTTCCTGCTGCTGTCGATGGTGG